TTGTCGGTGGGAGGCTTAAGCCACCCCTGCCACCCCGCTGGCGCCACCACTGAATATGAGGCTGTTTTTGGGATGGTTAAGACTTGTATATCATAGGACTCCATATACTACCTGAAATGTATAATTTGAGGTTTCTATTTTTATTTATATACATGTATCTCAAGCAAGGGTTTAGAACTGACACCATATTTGAATTGCTTAATTTGTATATTTAAGTAATTTATTGTCTAAAAATTAAAAATTTGAATTAAAAAAATGTCACTGTCAATTATTGGACAGTTAAATGCCTTAGAAGCATCCTTTGACATAGACCCTTAAATTTACTTGTACCCAATTTAATGATTTTTGTAAAAGAATGCCTGTAAATCAGTAAAAACTATTAAAAAAAAATATATATATATTTCTGGTTGGAAGTTAATAACTTATTTGATCCGTTTGAATGAGTTATTCAAAATTTAAATATGATTTTTAAGGTATTTCCTGATTTTTTTTGACACTGTATCTTTAAATAACAACATTTATCTGCAACATGAGGATGTTCGAATGTATTTGCCTACCATTGCTTCATCGGATGTACCATCAGCGAGGTTGTCAGCATCCGACGCATCCTTCTTCATCTGGCTTAGTTGAGTCTCATACTCTACATACTTCTTCTCTTTTAACTTCGTCTTTGACCTCTCCGCATTTAATAACTTCTTTGCTTCACACACTTTTTGATCCATTACAAGAATAGCATCCTATGAAAATGTAAAACAATTAGCAGGATTAAAACGGCCGCTCAGCATAGTCTGGATAATAATATTAATAATATACAAAGTGGACAAATTGATAATAATGTAGTACAACAATACATACTCCAAGTATCGAAATGCATGTAATTAAATTAGCAACATGTTTCTGAAAAGTGTTTTTGTTTGAAGAACAAATGAAGCTATGCATTTGCAATTTACACTGATGAATCCAACAACATCAAAATCCGAATAAATGTCTATTAAAAAAAGAGTCAGCCATCATAGAAACTTGCTTTGAGTTCTGTCTTCATTTCAGATTGATTCCACTCAAATTTTAAGGAGCGATAATGCACATTACTAAACAATGTAAGGCGTCATTTTAACTTGATCTAATCATGTAACTTTAACGTTTATTGGTGTGTCGTTTTAATTAAATCAATAGATACTCTGGCAGTACGCTACTGAGACTGAGAAAGCAGTACGAACGGTTCATTCATAGGGTGTTGTGCTAGGCCTACATTAGTTGTTAATTCCTAGACAGCAATGCGATTATTATGTTATTTTGTCCGGAAATCGTTGTTTATTAAATGTTTATTTGGTTTGCTGAAGTTTGTACATTGTACACAGAAAAGTATAATGACCCACGATATCAGTATAAAGACGTTTTTCAGCCTAGGCCTTGCATCTTTTACGTTGATAAATAGTTGCCGAGGTCAGCAAAAATTGCGTCGGCATTTCGAGGGCTGTGGAGGAGAGTTAATTTTAAATGTAAGGCGAGTTATTTTTCACACCCCTCGATAGCAGATTTAAGGTGCGCGATGGTGTACGACCGCTCACCTTAAATGACAGGGTCTGTTTCCCTTTGCTCTATTTATATAATGCTTGTTAACGACTGCTGACTTAAATTGTTTAATAAGTAATATATAGGAAGATACAAAAAATATCACGAAGAGCACATAAAAATGAATGTCAATCAATATAAATGTAGGTCAGTTACCTACAGTGACCTTAATGAAATTGACCTCATTACAGTAATTCAATTGCCTTTGGGAGGTCAAAATTAAAATCATAAATAAGGTAATACAGTATACAGTTTATTGTCACCTAGCCATGGTATTGTTTGTATTGACCAATATGAAAAATAGAAGTTATATCTGTCTGGCAAGAACATTCAAATAAAGCTCAAACCTTTCCAGATTTGCCTCTAAGTGCTGCTCGTTCCACAGCATGGTTGTCAAAAGCAACGCTAATCACACGCTCATCTCCAGCCTTACTCTCTGCTAGCTTGCGATGAAGCATCTTGTTCTCTTTACGCATTTTGCTAATCGTCTCACGGTTCTGTCGCATCGTCCATTGTGAGCTCTCATAGTACGCCTTTCGGTCACCATCTGCAAGACATACAACAAAATCTAACATTAATGATAACACAGATTTTCCTTATTGACTGGAATGGTAGGCCTAGTTATTGAAAAATCCTAATTTTTGGAAAGAACATTGATTGTTTGAACAAACTATGTTGGCTTGAAACCTACACATTTTCAAATGTCGCTTTGTAAATAATTGGTCTTAGAATCGGATTGTTTTTTATGGAGTAGGCCTAGAAGGTGGGGATGATGTCATGGACAAAAGGGGGTAAGTGAAGTGGGCTTGCTTGGTCAGTGGTTGTTCAGAAATCCTTGGTTGAGGTACAGGGGAAAATCCTCCCTCCCCAGGAAGCTATGATGAGTAAATTGTTTAGATTTTAAAGGTTATTTTTAACTGATTTTAAAGTATACCATCTGTAATAAATACATAAAAGGCCTAGAGAGAGTGCTCACCCACTTAATTTATTATTTTACTCATGAGTCATATGGCCCTAGTTAGTAAGGCCTAGACTAGATCTGCTTTGATCGCATCATTTAACCTCCAGTCTCAGTCTGTGAATAACACTTTTCTCATTTTTCACCCTACCCTAAAAAACGGTTTAATAACTTTGTTGTTTGGCAGGCTTAGGCCTAGACTAGCCTACCACACTACCACTAGGCCTAGTCGCCGTACAGATGCGCTAGTGATAGGTTAGGCCTAGCTAGGCAACACGCGCGCGTTCATAATCAACCAAACAAATTGCTTCATTTTGGAAGCGTAACATACAACCTACCCAAAAGAGCTATCTTCCTTTGGAGCTCTGCAATTTCCTCCGTAATAGGCATATTTTTTTGAGGTTTTACTGCACCAGGCATGACTTCAGTCAACCAAAATACAGAATATACCAACCCAATCTACCAATTTATGTGCAAAAATGGCGAATGTTTACAGTAAAAGCTGATTGTTTGTTGTCATGACGATCAACAATATTGTTTGTTTCCTCCACTCTACCACACGGCGTATTGAAATAACCGTATGAGGGCGGTAAACAAAGAAAATCGCATCATCACTACAATAATCGATTATAGTTCGATTGTCCTGGTAAGCCAAAGTTAACAGAAGTCTTAAACTATTCGCACTCCCAGTAACATCCAGAACCGGGAGGATCTTTCAAATAAACATAACAAAATGAAGACAGAAGCTCCAGCAGGAGCAACTACCAAGACTAATCTTGTTGCAAAACAAATAAAGGAGCAACATGAAAATAGTCGGTGTGTCTTTCCAACTTCAAAAATTATGAAAGGAAAAAAAGGATTTAGGGAGAGCGACAGACTGAAAAGTTTGTACGATGTGGACTTTGCTCCAAAACACTGTATACCGTGTACCCCTCGACCATGCTCGGTTACGAGAAGAAACAATCCACATCCGTCACAGGTAGGAACATAAACACAAATAGTGTCAGCAGTTTCTTTTGCAATATTAAGGGGTCTATGTTGCAATAGGCCTATCAGTTGTTACTGTGTTATATATTTTAAATGTTTCTAAATTTATTCTTACTGTCTAATAATAGGCCTACTATACATATTTATATTTTGTGTAATTTTATCAAGTTTGTATGAGTATCAGGATCATACAAACCTCCTTATATCACTAAGGTAAGACTCACTAAGGTAAGAATCAAAAGTACACGCTACAATCCACCTGATAAGTTTTTATCCATCCCATTCATGAGTATAGATTTTCTCAATAGGTAAATAAATATTTCACTTCATGAAATGCATGGATTCGACTTTCTCACTGTATTGCCGACAATAGAATTTGTTTCATTTAATTGAACTTATTTTTGAGACAAAATTAAACATAATGACAGTTTTATTTACAAAGGAAAAGTAAAGATTTTTTTACAGCAGTTACGCGTGAAGGAATAGGCCTGATTGCTTATCGATTAAGGTAGGAAGGGAAGTAGAAAGTGTACATTTTTATGTAGTGTCAATTTTACCTAGATCCTTAGATTATATTATTATTCAATTATTAGGCTCATCTAAATGCATATGCGTATAATATTCTATCTCAAATATTAGGCATTTATGTGCTCCTTTATAATATTCTATGAGCTGTATGTAATTTTGTTGATATGTGGCGTAATATTAGGTGTGAATTAATATTAAAATTATATCAGTAAAATATATAATCATGGTACTTTATCTCACATACTGAGTAAGAGCTATACGCAATGTCCAATCTGTAATGATAAAAATGTTACTGTCACTTTACTTTGACAATGTTGGATGTAACTGTCAATGTGTTTTATTGTTTAATGGCCTAGGCATATACCTTTATATTATGAGACTAATTGCTGTTCGATTTAGGCCTATTTATTTTTAATGACAAGACACACACAATTTTATTCTTTATTACGAGATTAAGATACTTTAATAGTTCCTGCCAAAGGAACTTGGGAGAGGGTTACGCCATTTACGTGGGTTACTCTTTAGAATCTAATCCGGTAAATCTTCCAAGTGGCTCAGTGGCCGAATGTGACGAAAACACTTATTATAAACATTTCATCATCATCAGTCGCCTGCGGAGTTTCTTGCCAATTTGAATTTTATTGTTTAACTTTTATCGTGATGCAATTTGATTGACTTTTAATAGGCCTATGCTGTTGAATTTTAGCTTCCCAGAATTTTAACTTACTCTTTTATACTGTAAACTTGTATTCTTATACCGGTATTTTATTGTAATGCGCATTTATTTTAATGAAATTTGCACATTATACCTATGAATAAATTACTATTATTATTAAGAGTGGTTATTATTCGCCTGTTCGCGGCCCATTATGTAAGAAGAGTTTAAGTCCGCTAATTCCAGCACGCATTTGATCCAATATAACTGACACTCTCCCCTTTAACAAATTAAATTTGTATATGGATTACTAATTATTTGTATTATAATATTTATATTAAAAAATAGAGAAAATGAGACAAATGATTATAATAGTATAGTATATACTAGTTGCAGTATACGTTTAGATGAATGAATAAACGAACAATTGATTAATTGATGTAAATTTATTATCAAACAAACAAGCCTTCGACACCACGCATTATCAGATCGGTAAGCACTGTACCTATATTTGGGATAATTCATTTCTATGTTGCACTGCTAACAACTGACCTTATACTAGTATAAAAAAAACTAGAGCCTAGGTCGAAGGTGTTAAATACAGTTGGTAATTGAGAGTTGCACGGTGTCTTGCGCTAAAAACGCAATCAATCGGAGTTTAATTATCCATTGAACAACATTCCTTCTTCATTCTTTACTTGCAAAAATGGTAGAATAAAAGTATACATTCAAGGACAAGCAGAGAGTTGCAGATAATTTCATACACATTTTTTAATATTTAATCATTACAGTCGCATCAAATGCCAGGGTGGCACCAGTGGGGGGGGGGGCGTCGGGTAGGAAAACAACAATACAAAAAAAATTATATGTATTTTCTACAGTAGACTGTACCGGTATCTATCTATAAAATCGATTAACTAAGCCTTTGAAACCCTTAAACTGGACCACTTTCGATTTTAAGCGACCCAACCACGGGATACCCCCGGGGGCCTTGGCCACCGTCGGCCAAATCCTGGCGCCACCCCTGATCAAATGGCTCATTTGAAACAATGTTGTGTAAATTTTGAACGTGATTGAGTTTTATTCTTGAGTGATTTGAATGCGGTGTCTATATCAACTAATAAACATACATTATTAAAGAACTACTTTTAAGATTTGATGAATTTTTCGTTATCTTAGGTGCACTATCGTGTGTTATACAGAACGGAAGTTTCTTGTTAAGTGAAAATATAATTACTGTATATTTGATTTGATTGCTTTACCGTATTTTGGCCTAATTCTATAGTTTCCAATTGAAAATTAGAACAAATAAAATTTTTGTACTAATACGACTACCACTACTTTTGTTTTGCTTACCATTTTAAATAGGTACTAACTGTGTTGACTTTATAATGTTTGGCACCTTAAGTTGTGTTTTAATTTGCCATTTTGTTTCCGTGCACGGAGGAATTAGTTTAGAAACTACTTCCTCCATGATCCGTGATAATAGCCCGTATTGTTTATTCATTAAGTGTTCACTCCTCTTTCGGTTTCGAATCA